GTTTCTTTTTGTAGATACCAAAGTCCATTGGCCAATAATTGGAAATCCCGATTTCATTGGGTGTTCATTTTATGCAATCAATTTCAAAAACCAACTATACAGAAGTTTCAAGGCACTATTAAAAAAAAATTTCTTAAATAGTTTCAGATTAATTTAAATTGTGAAAAAAAAGTTGGAAGGGCAAAGCATTTGGGAGTGTCATCTCGGTAGTCAATGAATTGTACACTAAAACTACCATATTTTCTCTATTAGAAGCACATCTCCGATAGCAGCACATACAAGCTGAAAATCACATTGGCTGTATCCTACATTAAAATATTACTTATTTTAACAATAGAAAAATTTATGTAAGTATATGCGCTATTAGAGAAAATATGGTATAGGTGCCCACCTAATGAACAATTGACTGTCCATTGTGAAATAAAACCCCCCAAAAAATTACACCAAAAGGTTTCACTTCTCATTCCAGGAAAAAATACATGCGATTTTTTTGTTTATTTGAATCTATCAGTATTCTAAACATTTACCTTTTATTAAATGCACATGCTTTTCTATTTAAATATCCATCTCAATTGATTTGGATCAACGAAAGCAACAGAAATGTGCATTTTCTGAATCCACAAAACACTTCCCCATTCAAAATATTACGACTCATTTTATTTGCTACAAAACTAGGAGCATGGGGGTTTCTAACTAACATGTGGCATTGGCGAGAAGCAATTCAGGAATTACAACTATGTATTATTTGGACAAATCAATCTTTTGAGAGCAAATATTATTAAAATTCACAATACCCACACAATTTTTTTCCATATTTTTACCAAAATTTTGACCAAAGCCCTGTAGCCAATAGCAAATTGTGAACAATTGGTCTAAAATAAAAAACGTTGAGAAATTCATAGAAACGGGTAAAATGTTGCATTAAATCTGGACACAGTTGAACAGTATCTCACTGCACATACTTCAATGCATTGAATCACTTCAGACGCCTAAATATTAGACAAGTTTCCTGAGAAAGCAGGTGCAAGCTAATTAGCTTCTTTAAATGGCTGACAGGGCAGTTTTTATCTGAGAGAAAGGGAGTTATAAACTGACCGTGGTCTTCAATTCTATTTTCAAATGTACTTACCTCATCATTGATCGTTTGCTCCTCCTCTTCACTTTCACCGTTTAAGTTTTGTGATTTCAAATAGTTCACTAACTGAGGAGTAGGACGTTTCTTCCAACTAAGAAAATCCATCATGTTTCCCCCATTTTCTAAGAAAAATAATTCCATTAGTCTATCGTTATAGTTCTCTTTAAGTGTTTGTAGCTCTTTTTCTTTATGTTCAAACACAGTTTTTCTCAGATGAGCTACTTCCGAGTTTGCCGGAGGCTTTTCCTCCAATGGTTTTAGCTGCGTTTTTCGCATCACCACTGGACTTTGATTAGGGCTGGACCGTACTGGGCTGGTTTGCATCATATAAGCACCACCTGACATAGGACTAGTTCTTTCATAACCCGGTCTATTTGTTGGACTGTATCCTGCACTGCTTCTCCTTTGTGGAGTAACTTGTGTGCTCATTTGGCTTCCTAAATGTAGACCCGGTATACCAAGGACATTGTGTGTGGGACTTGGCCCTGGACTACTGAGCGAAGGAATGCTTCTCGACGGGCTATGACTCTGTCCTGGTCCATGATGGTGGATTGTCCCCACTGGTTGTTGAGTCGGGGACGGCAAAGGCTGTGTGGGTATTCTTTCGCGAGACAATTGAAACTCTCCATCTGGGAACAACTTCCTATCATCCTGGAACATAAACTGGTTATGAATAGCACTTGATTGGTTGACACTCATTTGTCGCAATGTTAATGCGGGATCAAGTAAACCTCTTGTTGTTGGACTGATAGGTATGTTTAGCATAGCATTGGCTGCATTGGCTCTTTGTTGCTGTTGTAAATGTAGTTGGTTCAAAGCCAAGCTGGTTTGCGGACTTTGCTGGAAAGTGTTTGTCGCTGTTGCCTGTGGCTGCAAAGAGAATGCTACAGATGTCGGGGAAAACTGTTGAGCCAAGATTTGAGCTTGTGGACTCAACTGTTGAAATGCTCCTGCAGGCGGAGAGGTTGGTGTTCGCTGAACGTTTAGTTGTCCCAGAGAATGTGCTCTGTTGTGCTGAACCGCAGTTGGCAACCCGATATTCTGGCCCTGCTGAAGCTGTTGGAGATTCAGAGTCTGCCCTTGCAAAGTTATACCCTGCATGGGACCAGAGGTTGCACTGAGCATAAACTGCTGCAGCGGGCTCTGCTGGGCCTGAAACGACGGTGATGGTGGCGTTGTCATAACCTCAGCAGCACCAGAATTGACCGGCGGATGGTGATCACCTGACTTGCGGCGAAGCCCTCTCCTAACGTCACTGACATTGGGATCACCAGAACGACGCATTCTTTAGAACAGGCCACAACAGCCCTGAAAAGAATAATAAATTAAGTTAAAATTGTACTTAATTTGCGCTAACAGTAAAACGATAAAGTTTCGCCAAACTTCTTCATATTTACAAATATTCATTCATTCAAAACCGGTGTGCGGTAGAGTTAGGCTGACCATGCACACTAAACGGCGCGATAAGTTTTGTAAATAGAAAGAAAAAAGAAAAATACAAATAAAACGTCAAGAAACTAGCTACACTTGAATTTGTATATTATATAAAAATCAACTCATAAAAACTATTGGCATAATTATCAGGTATTCTGCACCAGGCAAAATGCAATCAAGCCACAATCCTTTGCGCGGCGGCCGCCATTTTTGCGCTGAAAACGAGCTGCACCGACCTTGTTTTCAGCTACAATTTTCGCGATGAAAAACAGCCCATCGACGGGCCAAAACCCTCCATCCAAGTAGTTTAGTACATTAGGTAGACAATTTCGCCATTTTTGAATAGTTTTCATGTGGTTCTACGAATGAAATATTGCTACACTAGCAACACAACGTACACAAAGACAGCCACTCTAAAAATGGCGGAATTCAGTTCGCTGCATAAATTATGTTAATTAATCACAGGTTTGGTTACCTCTGACCCCCGTGATTCGATAAGTCGAGGTTTGCGATTGGCCAGCGAGTTATTCATTCATTTCCTGGCAAGTACGTGACTTTGAGAGAAAAACAATAAATATGCTAAACCACATTAAGAAAGGGAACATTGGGTAATATAATTCACAGTTCTTTTATTTTAAAAAATAAAGATCCTCCTGATTTGAAATATGAACATTCTGTTTTTTTTCTCCAATCCAGCCATTTATATTCATATTCTAAGGATGCAATAAAATATTATTAGGAAAGAAGATAGGCACTCGAATCAACATTACAATAAACATAAAGTTACTTCTTGTGGGGAGAAAATCTGAAAATAAGCTTCATTCAATACTGTAAAAATTAACAATGAAAAAGAGAACAATGTAACCGGCTTTAATTTCACAAGATGATATTTTCTTTGTAAATCAGGCGAAAATCACAATATTTTGTACCATTGAAAATTTCTTTGGGGTCCTATAACATGAAGTGTCAGTCAGAGCGACTTTCGCAAATTTTATATTTTCGAACCCCATAAAATTTATTTCTGTTTTGAGACTCTGCAAAACGACCTCTCTGTAGCCTTGTCGTATAAGCGTGTCTGTCGTAAAGAGGCTGCGATGTACGATGATGTAATCACCAGGGGAACACAATATATTTTTTTTTCAATTAATGTCACTGTTGTTCAGGTAAAGTCACTCACAACAGTTATTACTTATTACAGTGTCAATTATAATGCAAGCATTCATCTTTCAAATCTCACTTATGTATAAGTTATTATTTGAGTGAAAAGTAAAAAAAAAAAACGAAACAAAAATACATTGTATTGGACACACAGCAAAACAATTGGAAATTTGTTTCATGCAATGTCTGTTTCACATTATGTGTTTAATTTAGGCAAGTATGCAATTGAATCCACTGAAGCTTGCTCAACGTTCTCCAAATCCTAATATTTATTCTTGTACATTTCAAAAAAATTCTGTGCAATTTTTTGTTGGGGGGGGGGGAGTTTAAAAAAAACTCATCATCCCTCTTTTCATTTTTGTGTGTTGATGTTACCATCAAATCACTAGGCACTGTGATTATATCTATTCATACATCAGGGATTTTCATTATGTTCATTTTTTATTTGTGAAATTACAATTGGTAAGAAACTGATCTTTGACTGGCAAAATGGCAAACATACAGTACAATACGTTCAAATTAAGGGATGTTCTATTTAGTGTTTATGTTGATGTTATATGCCCATGCGTTACACATGTTAGGGTCTGACATAGAGTTAGAAATCACAACAACTCAGTATAATGTCAGACTCATCAAGGGTTGCTGAGCATGGCCCAGGTTTACCAGGGAATACACTGTTGGTCAAGTTCCTGCATAGTGGAATGCACTTTCCATTCCTTCACATCATGAAAAGTCACAATTTCTTTATAAACCAGTCATTGTCACTGCCATCATCATCATCTTCTTCATCATCATCATCATCGATATCATCATCATTATCATCATCATCATCCTTGAAATCAGACTGACGACAGCTAAATAATAGAAACAACAATTTTAATTTAAACACTTTTCATATACAACATACATACTAGCATCATCTTAAAGCGTCGGAGTCGTCACCTGTGCATGCGTCAGATGGCCAAAGCATGTCAGCGTCTACCCAAGAGCCTTTGCGTTTTTAGCGTGTGTTGTTATCGTCGCTTGAGACTCCATTCCCGCATGTGCGCAGATGATGACCCTTCCGCTTTAATTATTTGCACCTCGTTTATTGGGATGCCATTGAGTTTTGGTTTCTGGAGAAGACTCCTGGAGAAAATTCATTCCTCTATACACACATTTATCAATTGCATACTTGACATAGAAATCACAATATCATGCCAGTCCAAGTTGTGTACATGTACCCATAATTAAGGATTTTCATTCGAACCTAAGTTAGTTAATTGACAATAAAGCTGAAGATAATATGTGTGATAAAAAAATGTGTTTTTGAATAATAATTCTTCAGTGAAGACTGGTGGAATTAGCCTCAACATACATGACTGATATTGATTCAATATGGCACATCAGGTGAAATACAATTGTATATTTCCACACACAAAAATTAAAATATCTTCCCAATGAATGTTATAGATGTATGTGCTTTCCGAGGTCTCTGAAACCTCTCCAATAAATGCCCAATATGGATGACCAGTTTAACCAGTCTAAACATCACATATGATGAATTATACGAAGTAAAATACTCTTGGGTAATGGCCAGTTTAATACCCC